TCAGTTCAGAACATAGTCCTTCTACCTTAATTTCTGATTCCATTTTCCCCTACTAAGTTATAACCATGGATCTTCCTTTTATTCTTCCCATAAAACAATTTAATTTTTTATTAGAGCTTTCCTCTGTAAAATCTGTCCCCTACATCTTTGCAAAGCTGAATTCTTATTGTCACCCAGTTCTCATTTTAAATGTCACCTCTTTGCAGAGAGTGTTGGTTTGTTGGTTTCGTTTTAGTTTTTGCTATAGGGTGCTCCCTGAAGAAAGAAAGAGAGAGACAGAGAAAGTGAGAAATCTACTTCCCAGAGGGCATGACCACACCACAGTCCCTTTTCCCCTATTCACACACTTGTGCCCACTGTCTTTTTCAAGCCACTAGGTCTGGAATCGAACTGTGCAGTTGGCCATAAGGGATCCAGCCACCTTAACTTCCGTACCACCTGCTGGCCCCCGAGAGTGAGTTTTCTGAAATTTTTAATATAAGGTAGCTATTTGTTCACTATCAAATTACATGATTTTTCCCCTTATTATTCATCAAGCACTTATGTGTACATGAGAGAGAGAGTGAGGCGCACCACCACAGGGCTCGATCATGCCATGATCTCCTTCCAGTTCTTCAGTCTGCCAGGAACCTAGGGATGTGTGCACATGCCCAACATGTTTTCAGGCAAACCAGACCAGGGATTTGAAGCACGGTCAGCATGTGGCTTCTATTTCTGTAGTCTGCCATGCTACCAGCTATGTCACAGAGGTTGGGCATGATCACTTTGTTTTAATTGTGTTTGTGCTACTTATTTCAAACTCATTTTTTAAAAATTGATTTCTTGCATATTAGTAATCTCAAATTAGAATGTAGATTTACTAAAGTTAGGGCCATTCCTTTTTTGTTCACAACTGCAACACTAGAATTAAGGTGACAGTAAGCTCGATCACATAGTAAATATTAGTAACTATTTGATGAATGAATTTGGCATGATTTCATTTTGTCATCCTAGATCCCAACTGTGTGAAGTCTGTTGAAATTTTATTGTTGTTTCCCTGAATTTGGCATTTTTAAATTTCAGTTTTATCTGTGAACCTAAAAGGGAATTCCCAGTTCTTTGGTTTTGGCTATTAATGAGCAATTAATTGAAATGAAGAGAAGGTGGATTAATTGGGAAAACATTCAATATCTTTCAAAACTCCAAATCTTCAAAAAGAAGACCTCTCACAAATGGTAGACCATTCATACCTAAATTTCTGATGAGCAAGAGATTAGGTTTTCTGGTGTTTTTTTTTGTTTTGTTTTGTTTTGTGGAGTTTCTTTAGGAAATTTCATTGTGTTTTTAATAATCACCTCAGCTTGAGCTAGTCAGGTATTAGAAATTACAGTATCACTAAGTCACCCCAGTGGCACAATTCTGGGCTTCCAAGTGGTACATTGGCTATAAATGAGGGATCATAAGATTCATTCTTCATCCTGGCTCTGGAGATCTGTTCATTTGTTTGTGCTAATCTCATGCCATCTTTGGATTTAAGTTATTGTGTACACTACCTTTCCTACCTAGACTCTGGCATTTCTCATCTTTTCTTTCAGCATCCACTGATCCCATCCTTTCCTTTGGCCCATGATTCTGCTCCTTCCATATAAATTTATTTCACGAAGCAAGCCCTTTATCTACAACTTCTTTCCTTATATTGGGCATAGCTTTGCCTTGGAGCTTCTACCTTGCTACCGGAAGGCTGCAATGGTTCTCCATTGTCTGCTCTGTGGTGTCTTCAGAGATTGCTGTCCTGTCTCTCTGCTAATAATGTCGGGGGGATTAGGGCAGTAGGTGGTGTGGTGGTTAAGAGGCTGGACTCTCACATGGCTGACCACGGTTCAAGTCCCGGACCTAGCGGCTTGTTTTCTCTCTTTCCCACCCCCTCTTCTCTGTGTGTGTCTCTTTCTTTAGTGAGTGTACATGCTCTAGAAAATTAAAATAGTAATAACAAATAAAATATATAATTCTAAAAAGAATAATAATGACATTGGGGTGAAGATTTCTATTTTTCTGGGAATTCTGGTGTCATCTGCCATAATTTGCTCTGCTAATGCTAATAACTGACCTTTATCCATATGAAAATTCTAAGAATGAGACAAAGAACAAGTTTCTATTAATCAAGACAATAACCAGTTTGTATAAAATCACCAAAAAATAAAGAGATAAAAATAAAAGAAAGTAAAATCAATAAACTATGCTTACCAGACAGAATTATCTTGTTAGTGGCCATAGTACATTCTGGAACAGCTATGATTATTTTGATTACTTAGCAAGAAAGGTAAAGTCCATCCCCAGCTATGCTTTTTTTTTTTCTCTTTTGAAATGAGAAAGTCATTTCTATGAGAAGCAATTCAGCAGTTCTTCCCAACTTTCTCTGGGCCAGCTTCAATGAATATTTAGCCTTCAGCCTATTACACAAAGAAATGCTTGAACGACCAAGTTCTTAAAACTCAAGACAGATTCTGATCATTTAAAAACGCATAAAAGCATTTATGGCAAACTGTCTGCTTTCCTTTTGAGGCTATGGATCTACCATAAATACAATAAATATAAAAATTGTTTTCTGAGAGACCGGTTACTGTAGCTGGGTAAAAAGACTGACTTTATCATTGTTTTTAATTTATTTATTGGAGCAAAAGACTTAGACTGAGAGAAAAACAGAGAAAAAGACAGGAAGGAGACTAAGTAGGTATGCAGACAATGAGCTGAGTGGTAGTACAGGGAGAGAGACTCCCACACTGGCTCGTGGATGACTGCGCAGATCACGCTTGACAAAATGATCAGTTAGATTAAAAGAGGGCACTTCATCATCCTTTATTTTTCATTCATTTATTCATTTAACATTTATATATTATCAGGTATGTGTCAGATGTTCTATTAAGGACTAGGAATACAAAAAGGAATGGTTTGGCCTATGAGCCCCAAATCTCACAATTTAGTGGGAAACTAGAGGTATTTTCTAAAATACACACACACACACACACACACATTTTATATGTATATGTGTGTGTGTGTGTGTGTG